AGATCTCAGCCTCCTGAATAGCTAGGATTATATAGTACCTAGCTGGGGACTGTCTGTATTTGAGCTTCCTTAACCTCCTCTGTACCTTAAAGTAATTATATTGCCATCTTCTTGGATGCGGAAACCAAGGCTGAGGGAGGTTACATACTTTGTCCAAGGTCATTGATGGGCCTCAGAGAGTTAAGATTTAACATAGGTTTCTTGTTCACTAGCCCTTGTCCATAACTTGTGCATGCTGCCTTTTGAGAGAGAGTTTAAACCACTAGGCCTGTTATTCAGACTCCTGTTAATGTACTTTTATAGATCCAATTAAGGGGTCCTAATGTCATTTTTGTGTACATATTTGTATGTATTTCCTTTTTTCATTCAAGTTGGAGCTCAGTTACATACTTTTTTGTAACTTTTTCTTGACCTTTTTCATTCCGTTTCAGTGAAACTGGATTAGTTCTAATGTGGTAATAACAAGTTTTGCTTGTTTTGTTTTGTACCTACTGTTAAGCCATGGCCATTTTTTGTAATTTTATTATTCTAATTTTTTTTTGTTTACATTCTTTCTTTTTTTTTTTTTTTTTTTATTTTTTTTTTTTTTTTTTTTTGGTTGGTTGTGGGGCTTGAACTCTAGGCCTCGGCACTGACCTTGAGCTCTTCCAGCTCAAGGCTAACGCTTTACTACTTGAGCCACAGCGCCACTTCTGGCTTTTTTCCTTTTGCTTATGTGGTCCTGAGGAATCGAACCCAGGGCCTCAGGCAAGCAAGGCAAGCACTCTACCGCTGAGTAACCTTCCCAGCCCCTGGTTAAATTCTTGTACAGATAACTTTGTACTCGTGTTCACTCTTATTCTTAGGGTATATTTCTTGATGTGACTTCTAGGTCAAAAGGCAGGCATAGTTCAACCCTTTTGGTGCCTGCTGCCTGAGCTCTTTTTAAAGTCTGGACCAATTTACACATGAACAATGAATGTATATGTGTATCTGCCTTCCAACCTGGCCATCAGCAACTCCTGTCTTCAGTAACTTGATCATTTATTCTAGGATTAGATCATTTCTTTCTTTCTTTCTTTTTTTTTTTTTTTGGGTCCGGTTGTGGGGCCTGAACTCTGGGCCTGGGCGCTGTCCCTTAGCTCTTTAGCTCAAGGCTAGTGCTCTACCACTTGAGCCACAGTGCCACGGCTTTTTTTTCTTGCTTATGTGGTACTGAGGAATTGAACCCAGGGCCTCATGCATGCAAGACAAGCACTCTACCACTGAGCCACCTTCCTAGCCCCGGATTAGATCATTTCTAATTCTGCAGCTGCTGCCTATTTCCAAGCCTTTATCACTCTGAACTGTTTTATAGAGCCTTCTTAATGTCTCCTTGCCTCTTCCTTTGCTCTTTACAATAGAGTTTTGAATCCTGCAACATGAATTGAGCCCAGGTCAACTAGGTCAAGTCATATCCCTCCTCCAGAGTTTCCCATCTCACTTTGAGTCACAACTAAGGCTGATCCCTTTTTGCCTTGAAGGATCTCAGATCTTCCCCTTACCTGATGACTGTTAGAGCAATCTGTCTTACCTCCTTGTTCTTCTCATTGGCTCACTGCTGCCCTCTTGCCTAAAGCTTTTGCACTGGCTGCCCTCGTCCTGAAATCCTTGTCCTGTGTCCTCATAGCTGTTCTCTCTGTCATGCTGTCATGTTTTCAGATATTTTCTCAGTGAGGCCTTCCTTCTCATACTGCATTTCCTTTTTTTTTTTTTTT